CGTAATTGTTCTACGCGAGACAAACTTGCTAACTATTTACACCATATTGGGGTGCCCAAAAGGAGGAATTAATCAATGTATTGTAAAGCAATATATATGTGGTGAATACGAAATAAAAATAACTCTCTTTTCTCCAGTTTTCAAATTCGCGAGTCTATGCGAAAATTTATTTTGATCAATGGAAAAGTGAACGATTTACAAATTGAGAAAAAAGTAACGAGCCGATGTGAAATCACGTTTTGGTATAAATAGACAAAGAATGTTGAATTAAGAGAGAGAGAGAGAGAGAGAGAGAGAGAGAGAGAGAGAGAGAGAGAGCAGAAAGAAGCAGGAGGCAGAAAGCCAGAGTTCCACGCGTCTAACATCGGTTTCAAATTACACGCTGATGCATTATCAGCCTCTAACGAGTGCAGGGCAATTTCAAAGAACTCTATTGAATTCCAAAGTTAAGTACTTTAAAATATATCCTTTTATTCATCTTGAATACATATACGTTCTATGTGAAAAACAAACTCTCTCAATGACTTTGTGTCCGATGATTTAATATGAACATTTTATCTTCTTGTCAGTTCATCGAAACTACGAATTTTAAATATTTGATTCCTTTTCCTGAAACAAGCCACTGATAACTTCAAAGTTCAAATGTATAAATTTGTAAATAAATTCCTTATCTTGTTTCGTTAAAATATAACACGTGTGTTTCCTCGTCATTATCCCTCAATCAATACAATACTTCATGATAAGCCACGTCACAAGCAGTCCTGTACTGTGATGAGACAAACGAAATGGAAGGTTTTTTGATCATTGCCGGTGAAAATGCTCAACTGATATGTCAATGTTAGAATATGAAAAGGGAAAAGATTCTCTCATTTTTTTTTTACTTTCACTTCAACATAAATCCACCCATTTGTTTAGTTTTTATTATTATTAAAGAAGAAAGTACTTACTTAACTCTAGTGTCAGTCAAATAAATTACGATTGAGCTATGAGCCACTAAGACGAGTTGTGACACAAGGTCTTTTTTAAGGTGGGGACCCCGAGCGCGTACACTCGGACCAGGAACAAAAATTGCCGTCGGTTGCGCTGGCCTCGGTGCGAGCACCGAACCCTCTCTCTGGTGCAATGAGAGGGGCGCGGCCTCGGGCAGCTGTTCCCCAGAGCTGGGCAGTATAATTTTCCTAAGTTGCGACTCTGTTCGTTGATGGAGTCGCCCCTGAGTGCACTCTGCCCAAAGACAGAGACGCAACTGAGAGATGATAAACAGATGTGTTACAAACCCCTCCATCGAGGGGTTTACTGTTAAAAAGCGATTTTCTAAGCGCGGCTTAGATGTATTGTAGCACAAGGCTGAATGTATGGGGGCACCCAGTGAGGATCGAACTCACTATTCAGTCGTAACTGTTTTAGCAAGACAAGCCTGCTAACCATTACACCACACCGAGGTGCACAAAAGCTCGATTCTCACTAGGTGCTCCATACTTTACACTTTGTGCCACATCTAAGCTACGCTTAGTAAATTACTATTAATTTCAGGATGTTATTTTAGAGGAGATTTATTTCTGTAGACACCGGAGTCATTAAATTTCCTGTTTATCGGTTCCCGACTTCCGCTTCTTATCTAATGTCGATGGATTTGTTCGGAGACTTACCCGAACCTGGTAATTATAATTGATTGCAATTGTCCTCATCGTTGTATCATTTATTTTAAAATCTAATATTTATATAGAAGCAAATACTGCCAGGTTATTCAAATCTTCAACTTTTTATCATTCTCGCTAGAATTTTTAAAAAGATCGATTTATTTTGGTTGGTTTTTTTTTTTTCTTTTTCAAACAAAAAACAAAAACGAGCGGAAATAAAACTGGTTTATTTTTGGTAAAATAATTTAAAAAAAAAAATGATTATTTTTGTTTTGTTGTTCAAATATATAATCATTATGCTAATGACGGGAAATAAATTTAGAAGCAAACGAAAATAGATAATATTTGTAAAAAAAAAAAAAAAAAAAATCTATCTCTCGTGTGGAGGAGTCTTATTAAATTCGATTGATTTGATTTTTGTACAACTTTAAAAAAAGGTTCTTTCATCATGTATTATTGTTATTTAAAAAATAAGCTTTCTAGAAAAACTGAGCTGTATTTGCTTTCACACACACCGTTTGCTTGTCAGCTTTTTTTTGTTTATTTTCAGTTGTCTATGGCCAATAAAAAGTGTAAAAAAAAAACAAAACAAAATATTGACATTAATTGTTAAATAAATCCTTGTTGTTCATCGTCCAAAGAGAAATGTGCTGCTATATTTGCTTCATATATCCCCTACGATTGTCTTTAATTCTAGTTCGCAGTTAACGTAGACCCCACTCCCTCACCCTTACACATACGTGCGTACAGTGCCAGAAACTCGGTATTGTTTTGTTTTGTGCATATCAAGTAGTGTAATCTGTACTGAAATGCGTGTAAAACGTTACAGAAACATGGAAAATTTACAGTAGTAGTCGCCAATCGCAGTAATGAAAAAATACAAATCAACACTACTTAAATAGACTGGTCCACTCATAAAATAAAGAAAAAAAATGTGGTGGGGGGCATAATTTTTGTACATTAGTGTAGCATTACAATTTTTTTTTTTAGGCTGCGACACTTGTCAAAATCGAAAAATATTTTAAGAATTTGTAGTAAGAAAACCTTAAACTGACCTTAAGGGTAACAAAGAAGGGCATCAGTTTTATATGCGAATGCTTGATATTTCAGCATAGACCATATACCAAAATGTTCTATCAGAAACAATGAAAGGTAGCAGTAATTTTTGCAGCAAACCAATAACCAACTGCATTAAAGTCCAGTTGTTAACAAGTTAATTTATTAAAATTAAAATTCTAAATAAGCATTTTTTTTTTTTTTTATTACTTTAAAATAAAAAGGTACCGCGAAAAATGGATGTTGTTTTTTTTTTGTTTTTTTTATCGAAATGAAAGCAAAAGAATTTAAAAAAACAAACCCTTTGCCATTTTTTTTACTAATGCATGGAATTTCAATTATCTGATTAAAATGAAATTTTCAGCATCTGTACTTCTGATATCTCTGCTTGAACTCTGAAATTTTATTCTGTAATTATTTTTTTCTCCCTCATTAGGAGTTTTGGGGTTTGCCTATCGTCCGGTTCACACTTCTCCCCAGTTTTTGAACAATACTAGAGGTTCATTCCTTGTTTCCTGTTTAGGATTAGGTTTCCAGTTCCTTCTGAAAAGTCTACTTCCACTCTATACCCCTCTCCGCCTGAACTCTGAAATTTTATTTGCTAGTTAAATCTTGACCACTTCAAGTCTAGAATTAGCTGTCTATATTTCCTGTTGACCTTTCTGACAGTAATACAATTCTACGCAGTAACCCTCTACCTTGAGTGGCACTTGGGCCTTGTACTGAGTAAACATTAAAAAAAAACAAAAAAAAACAATGAATAGTATACATACTGAATAGATTCTTTTGAAAACTTTGTAGAAATATTTTTTGGTGGGTTGATTACCCACTCCCACCATTTCACTACATCCTGTATACTTTTAAAATTGGCTGGTGTGATGACAAATATTTTTTAATAATTTTATTAAGAAAAATTCCTGGAGATATATAATTTCAGTTAAAAAAAAAAAAGAAGAAAAAATATATTTTGCAATTTCAAATCAGAAAATCTAAAAAATCTGTCCTTACAAAAATAATTCAATAAAATTCCACAAATAAATTTTTTTTTTATAGAGTTTGGTACTTCCATAATTTAATAAAATACATTATTTTCTTTAAGATCTGACAGGGGAAAAAAAATCACAATTAATATTTATTTTTGAAAAAACTTGTCATTTTTCAATGTGATTTTGAAATTCTTCTGGTTGTTGATGACAAAAGTGATTTTTATTAAATAAAAACGTCTTTGAAGAATCAAATAATATAAAGTTTGATGCCATTTTTGCAGAAGAAATATTTTTAAAACAACTTAATTTTATTTATAATATTACTTTCACAACTGTTTTTTTTTTTTTTTTTAAAGTATGAAAGTTCAAATAGGGAAAAGTTCTGAATCACTTTCCTCTTGGGAATCAGTATTTGGCCTTATCAGTTCCTCACCTTTACTTTAAAATCAGAATAATTATAAAGACCTCATTAGATATTTATGTCCTCAAACGGGTTAAGAAAATAATCAAAAAGTAAAAGCAATGAATTAAACTCAGAAGTGTCATTTAACTAGTTTTTAATTTGATTTTTTAATGTAGTATAAAAAAGAAAATTAATTCTATTAAGCTTCATAAAAGTGTATAGACAAAAATATTTTTAAGCTATTGTTTATATAATGTTAAAGATAACTTATTTTAAGCATAAACAATACCAATTTCTTGATTACTGCATTACTGGTGTTCTTGTTTCTATTTTTTAACTTTTTCATATGCTGTTTTTTTTTAGTTTGGGATGGCAGGAGAAATGTACTGTTCTTTTCCTATGACATCACAAGTTACTGTGTGTAAAGAGACATTATTTCCATGGTGTTTTAAGCAAAAAATAAGCATTACTTCCATAAAATCAAGTATATTTAATTTTCTAATTTACTTTGAAACACATCTTAAGGACAAATATTGGATTTTTAAATTTGTTTACATTTTATGTGTATAATGGCAACTTTGTGAGTCGATGAATGACAAGTGAGTGTGAATATTTTAAAAATGTCTAAAAACTTTATTTATAGACAAAAATTTATTTTTCTTTTCATATGGACTAACTTTATGTTATTATCTTTAAAATAAAACTCAGATTTTACTGGAGAGATAGAATTTTTAAATTATTTTAACTCATTCCAGTACACTGGGACATATGTGTCCCACAGATGTTTTCAACACATCCTGCGGGACATTAATTGTCCCCAAAACACATTAATGTGGGATAAAGCAGATAGGTATTTGTTGAGGTCAAGTGGGGCAATAAAATTTTAGGTTGATTTATTGCTAGCACCATGGGAAAATGTCTTTCTTTCCTTCTCATACCATCAACAATACTCTTTCCTTCCTTCTCTTACCATCCACAATATTCTTTCTTTCTTGTACCATCCAGAATATTCTCTCTTTCTTGTACCATCAAAAATATTCTGGATGCTATGAGAAAGAAAGAATATGCTTTCATTGTCTTACAATCCGCGACATTCTTTCCTTGTTTGTCGTCCCATCTGTGACATTCTTTCCTTGTTTGTCGTCCCATCCACGACATTCTTTCCTTGTTTGTCGTCCCATCCGCGACATTCTTTCCTTGTTTGTCGTCCCATCCGCAACATTATTTCATTGTTTGTCGTCCCATCCGCAACATTATTTCATTGTTTGTTGTCCCATTCACGACATTCTTGTTTGTCGTCCCATCCGCAACATTATTTCCTTGTTTGTTGTCCCATTCACGACATTCTTGTTTGTTGTCCCATCTGCGACATTATTTCCTTGTTTGTCATCCCATTGACGGCATTCTAGTTTGTCATCCCATCCGCGACATTCTTTCCTTGTTTATCGTCCCATCCGCGACATTCTTGTTTGTCGTCCCATCCGCAACATTCTTTACTTGTTTGTCGTCCCGTACGTGACATTCTTTACATGTTTGTTGTCCCATCCGCAACATTTTTGTTTGTCTTCCCATCCACGACATTCTTCTTTATTTTTTCCCATCCGCAACATTCTTGTTTGTCGTCCCATCCACGACATTCTTTACTTGTTTGTCGTCCCATCCATGACATTCTTTACTTGTTTGTTGTCCTGTATGTTACATTCTTTACTTGTTTGTCATCCCATTCACGACATTCTTGTTTGTTGTCCCATCCGCAACATTTTTGTTTGTCGTCCCATCCGCGACATTCTTTACTTGTTTGTCATCCCATTCACGGCATTCTTGTTTGTTGTTCCATCCGCAACATTTTTGTTTGTCGTCCTATACATGACATTCTTTACTTGTTTGTCATCCCATTCACGACATTCTTGTTTGTTGTCCCATCCGCAACATACTTGTTTGTCGTCCCATCCATGACATTATTTCCTTGTTTGTCCTCCCATCCATGACATTCTTGTTTGTCACCCCATCCACGACATTCTTTACTTGTTTGTCGTCCCATCCACGACATTCTTGCTTATTTTTTCCCATCCTCAACATTCTTGTTTGTCATCCCATCCGCGACATTCTTTACTTGTTTGTCGTCCCATCCACGACATTCTTGTTTATTTTTTCCCATCTGCAACATTCTTGTTTGTTGTCCCATCCATGAAATTCTTTTTTGTCGTCCCATTCACGACATTCCTTCCTTGTTTATCGTCCCATCTGCGATATTCTTTTTTTTATCGTTTTATTTATTTATTTAATTTAATTTAATTTTCACACACGTCCCATGGTTGCCATTTTTGTTTCAATAATGTACTACCTGCAACCATATTGTAGGTAATAATGGCTTTTGATTCAGTCATAGATGAAATGTATTTTATATTTCATCTGTTATTAAAATTGTTGGTTCCAATCTGATAGGAATGATTACTAAAATGCATCCCTTCCATAAATTTTGACACAAATTGTACATGCTGGGATTTCTTTTTAACCAATAAAAAATGAGCCACTTTTTGGTATCATCTTTCAAATTTTTGACCTTTCTTGTCTTTTAGTCAGAACATTGCACCATTCTTTGTGAACATTTTCTCTTATTGCTGTTGTAGTTTTGTCTTGCATATATATTTTTTGCTTAGAATTATTTTCAAATATGGTCAGTACCAGGATAGGTCACCATTTGGGAATACCAGGTGTTGTAAGTTTGGATGTGTTGGTGGTGTAATGAATATTGCTTCAGAATTGTTAATCAGAGAGCTGAATTTCAATTCCTGTTGGGTTTGTTATACAGTAGAATCCCACATATCTGGACATGATTTTGATGTGTATATTTGAACGATTTGGGTGATATACACTGATTTGAAATTTCTGTTTTTCAGGAAAATTACATAATTGCTTATGCTTATTTCATCCTAATGGCTTCTATTGGTGCAAACGATAAGAGGAAAGGATGACAACAAGACACATCTGCAACAAAATAGCGAAAATAATGCATGATTGGGATGAAACCAGGACTGAAATTGAAAAAAATCTATTGAAAAGGTTGTTGGTTTTGTGGAAAGAAAGTCAGCATTCATCTATGATGATTGCAATAATGCATGAAGATTTAAAAAATGTCTTTCGTTTAAAAAATTTCAAGAACAAAAGCAAAATGCGATATGGAAAAAGTTGAGAATGACATTAGAAGAGAAAGAATCATCATCCAACAGCGATTAAAAAAAAAAAAAAATCCTCATTACATTATTTGTTTTGCATACGTGGTATACTTAATTTAATCAACTTTCATTAACATTACATAATTTATTTCTTTTTCCTTAAAATCAATTCCGTTATATTTTGCTTGCCATTAGCTTATTTTGTTTACTGTAAAACATTGAAAATAAATGTTAAACGTGATTTCAGTTCTTTTATTTTAATCTAAATATAACCCCTCATATCCAGACTTTGTAACCAATTTCTCATATTCGGAAATCATTCTTATTCCAGTTGTCAGGGATTCTACTGTGTTCTCTTAAACACAAATACTCTTGGGAAAGGTATGAATCCTTCTCTTCCAGCTATGGATTAATTAGTAAGACTTGTATCAGTGTTTTTTGCCAGTGACACTTAACCATGGTCAATTACACTACAAAAGTTACTCACAATGCTGGATATCTTTGATAACATTAATTTAAATATAATTTCAATGTGTTAAATTGCTTATGGCTAACTTTTTAACATCATCTTGTTAGAATGGGATAGACATCACAGTTCTTTTGAAAATGCACACCTGAATAAAAAAAAATAGTCCTGGGTATGACAATGAACTACATCTGGCAGCAAGGCCTCTGATCGGGAGATTGGAGATTTGAGGAGCGTGGAACCACCTCTTAATTGCTGTTGTTCCCAGGTCCACCCTGACCTGGGATGGTAGCACCTATTAGAGTACCAGCTATGAGCAAATAGTGAAAAGCACTATGAGAGTATTAAAATACATTTTTATAGTAAAAATACCAGCAATAATCTATAAAAAATTACCAACAATAGCTATTTATAGTAAAATGACAAACAGTACATTCTAACTGTAATTAAAGACATACAATTGTGTTCAAAATATTTAAATTTTGGCATTAAATAACTCATATGTCACTAAACGAAACTAAGAAAACAACATGAAAGAACTCTTTTAGGACATTAATTCATATAATATCCTACAATTTTCTTAAATCAAACTGTACTCCAAAATATAACTTCAACAAAACTACAACATAAAATGCACATATCACCAGCACTATTACTTGTGTTCATACAAACATATATATGCACAAAAGCTGAGTATCATCTACCATGTATTCAATTGTGAAAGCAGAATAACATATATCATATTTTTATTACTTCAAATCTCCTGTGAAAATTAAATTTTGGAATTAAATGAGCCATAAGGAGTTGATATGCCATTGTAGTGATACAGAAGGCGCTTATCTCTCTTTGGTGGAGATAAGTCACATGACAGTCATCCCATACAGTGATGAAAGCAGCAGCCAAATTCAGTTTGTTTACAGCAGCCATCACGTGAGGTTGCTTTCTTTAAGCTTAGGCCAAGGGGCTCAGGCTGATGCTAAATCTGCCTCAAACACAAACACATGGTGTCATTTCGCTTTGGGAATGTATCTTTCCTGGATGTAGAATGAAACTCCATCTTGCAGTATTCATTTTGGAGAAAACGCAAGACTCACTGTTTCCTATTCATGGAATATGTCCACACCTGGGACAGAGATGAATCTGGCCTGTTTGAAACTGGTTTCTTAAACATGGCTTCTCCAGACACAGGACTATCTCCATATTATATATAAGACCCTTCTCCGTTTTTTCTTAAACTCTGCTTTGCTGTATATGTGATATATTTTCCACATAAAATGTGTATATATAGCTTTGTGTATGCCTTAGTGATATAAAAGTCTCTCTGAGAACAAAACATGGTTGTCATTCTTTTTTCTTTTCGGCCATTCTGTTCTGTCCATGAACTACGGTGTTATTATATCACAGATATAATGCTCATAATGAGGGAAATACAAATGGGAGAATAAGTCTTTTTACCATCGCTCTTTCCTGTTAAACAAAAACAAAACAAAAAAACTGAATAAGTTTTTGAAAAGAACCATCATTCTTTTATTTTTTTTCTTTATTCTTCCAAGATAGGGATTTTTAAAAAAAAGGAAAAAAAAAATTGTTTTTCCATGTTTGTTCCAGTTCTTGACTTTCTTCCAGCAAGAGCACCCGTTGAATCATTTGAAAAGAATAAAAGGGAACTTTGTTCTTATTTTTAGGATTGTTTCAATGTCTTGTATTTCCTTTCTTTCAGCAGGTTGCCAGCCCGTTCCTCAATCTGAACATGTTGTGTCTCCAACAAATGGAGAAAAAGGAAAAGAACAGAAGTTAAAAAGGAAGGCAACAGACACGTCATGCGATGACACATCACCTACAGTAGCAAAGCATAGATTGACTGGTGAGTAAGAATCTTTTAAGTTTGTTTTTTATTGTTCTTTGCTTCATATGTTTATCTGTAGATAGAATGAAATATGTCTTTTTCAAAAACAAGGTTGTATCTATTTACATTATTCGGACTATTGTCCTCATCTTTGTCACCATATTTATTACGCTCCGGCCTTCTTCAGATGGTTGGAATGTCGAACTGAACCCTTTATTTCGCTCACGGGAGTAGACGGTTCTAGTTCCATGTGCCATGTTTAATGGATGTCAGTTATCAGTTATCTCCTGTTAATTCCCCTCTCCAAGTTCTCCATTGCCTTAACCGAGTATTGAACTCACACTGTTTGGGTCCTGTCACTGGATCTAACGCCTTTATCCACTGTGGCATGTGTCCTTGAGGACATCTGTGTATGTGTAATTTCTGG